CTCACCTACCTTCGCCTGCCGGACGGCCCGCTGGTCTGCCGGGTGAGCAACGCTGTTAGGGAGCACAACACTTCGCACAACTTTCACAGGCGTATGCAATACATTAAAAGCTACACTAAAAGCACCTTTGCAGGCAGCCCTGGCTCGTGCCAAACACCCTGCGTGCCGGCAGAGCCAGTGCTGGCGGCTCAGGAAACACATTGCACAGGATGCGCTGCGAGACCACAGTGTCGGTAAGGTTACCGCGTGCCTTGTTTGTCAAAAATTTGCAACTATGCTTCTGTTCGATTTCAGATTCAAATTCAGATAGAGGAACATGCTTTATGTTCTATGTGATAAATTCATATTTCACTGAGCACCTGTGGAGAAAGCCAGGCAGCGCAGCACCTTGCCACACGCCGATTTTCCAGCACATGTAGGCAGAAGTCCTGCAAAGAGCCTCCTCACAGGGTGGCTGGGAACCTCCAGGGGAACTCAAACATCACTTGTGTGGTGACGGCAGTCAGGGCAGCTGGATCCCGGACCATCTGGCCAAGCGTACCCCAGTAATAATCTGGGGTTTGGAGCTCTCGGCACCGATGGACACAACTACTGACCACGGGGAGACATGCGAAGCGGCTGGGCACCGCAGCCGAGGCGACTGTCTGGGCCCTGGGGAGCCCGGCTGCCCCCGTGCCCGGGGAGGGGACGCCTGGGACGAGCTAAGGACAGGAGCCTGCGCTCGGAGCCCTCCAAGTGATTGACAATAAAAACGCTGCCCCAGTGCCCATTTTCAGATCTAGACAGCAAGAACTGAGGACTCCAGGGAAAATCCATGTTTTTACAGTTTGTGATACTACTGAGCTTTTCTGGTGCTGATTTTAAAACGCTGCTACGACCTCTGGAAAGAAGGAAAACTGCATTTCAGCACGACAGTGTAGAAAAGAACAAAAAAAGGAAACTTGTTATTTTTTTTAGCTTGAAACACTAGTCAGGTTAAGAGAAAGGAGCAGAATTCTGGCAAGGACAAGAGCACTCAGACTGAGCCACAACACAGTAATTAGGGCCAGTAGGTCATTAGACACACAGCTGTATAAACTAGGTGTATAATTAAGTTTCCACACTGCTTTTTTCACAACTGTATTTCAGTTTCTTTTGTGGAGAACAATCAGTAATTCATTAATTTTAAGATGCAAAACCAGCAGCAGTAAAAAGACAGAAAATCTGTGACTTGCCAATCAGGTGTAACCAAAGATTACAATTTGGGGGAGGGCTAATTTTGGAAATATGTGTGAGAAGTCTCTCTTTGTCAGTGGGAAGTACAAAGTGCCACCTGACAAAAACATTCACGAGATGTCATCACTTGTTGACAAGCTGCCGTATATGGGTTTCTGGATAAGCACCCCACATATACGGTTGCACAGCAATTGTAATTCTTGTAGCAGGTGAAATATAAGAAAATGCAAAATTATACACTAGCATGAAACAGTTACAATACCTCATTTCAAACGTAAGCCTAGTGTACAAGTTACAGGGCATTTAAAAGGAGCAACTGCAAGACTTTAATTATAAACTAGTTCCTACCGTACAGTAGTTTAGAAAAATCAGCCGCTTCCAAGCTGGCAATATCCATATATAGCTCTGCTGCTGTTTGAAACAGACAACCTGTAAAGTTATCAACAACAGAAGAGGACCTCATGAAATGCTCAGAGACCCCACCGAAACCTACTTCTGTCCACTTCATTGACGTGCTAATTTGCTTTAAAACACTCTACACATTCACTTGAGAAACTGAAGAAAAAAGCATACATGAGGCTATTCTGACCCACGGGAGGAAAGGGGTGACATGAGCGAAGGAATCAAAAATACCACAGTGAAATACTGGAGCTAAACCCAGACCAACGCAGGTGGATTAAAACATACAAGCAAAATGGCAAATCTCATGGCTTTTAGCCACTTTTCAGCAGAAAACAAACAACTTGGCACCAGCCACTGGACGATGACATATTGCAGAGCAGTTGCTTGATATATGCAGCCTCTGCTGCTGGCTGGAGGACATGGTCATTTGCAAATCCACGTGCCATTCTTTACTTTTGTCACTAATGCTATAAGATAGCATCACGCTCCGACCCCTACACTCTAACAGCAGCATGCAAAAAAATGCATAAAAAACCTGCACATGATGCTGGTGGCAACTACTTAGCGTTCTCTAGTTAAGGGGACATGGCATACCAGTGAGTTTTAAATTAATTTTAAGATCCTAACACATCCAGTGTATACACTATTTATTTATTCTCAGAGTATTTTTCAAGATGCTTGCTGGTTGTTTAAGGGGTATTTCCAGGACTGCTGCAGGAGAGCTCATTTGTGGGGGCAAGCTGGGAGACAAGGGGAGACATGAGCCGGTACGGAAATGGGATGTTTTTCCAATACAAGCTGCCCCCATTTAGACACTTTTCAGATCCCCACAGACACTGGAAACCTACAACCTGCAATCAGAGACATCAGTCATGAGCAGAAGGTATAAAAGGCACCTAATTCTGTCAGAAGGAAAACATCTCTACTACACTGACATCAAAAGTAATGCCACACGCTTATGCTACCAGAGATGCCTAGATTTCAGCGGTGTTTCGTCCTCAAAGAAACAAGTGTGAAACACATGAAAAAGCAAAGGGGAAATGGCTGTTTGTTACCTCCTTACATGTCAAAGCAGCTGTGTTCAAACTACATTATAGCTTCAGCGCGCCGTAATGAATTTCTAAGGGATTCCAGCGAAATAGATGGTTTATCCTATTCTTCAGAGTGATCTCCTGTAATCCTGAAACACTCCTGAGCTACAATACCTTCCTAACTTCAGCGTCCCAAAGGAAGTCATTAGCTATGTTGTATTATCAGCCAGGTGATATTATCACTACAAATATTACCTGTATTGATCTGGAGCCATGTAGACATGACTGAAAACCCTGCTTCAGATTAAGACATGAAAACCTAGCTTGCCAAGAGGTCAGGCACTGCATTACAACCTCAGATGTGTCAGGCAGGCATTTGAGGCCAAAGGAGTGCAGGGTAACTAAGGACACAGTCAGATAGCTGATTTTGTAGGGTAAAATCTTAAATATACCTCACTTCCTAATGCGGTCTTAGATTTTCAACCGGGTGGCGAAGTCTTTTCAGATGAACTGAACAAAGATGTGCATTTTGCACGCTTTCAACAAAATTTCCCATGGCTGTCGAACAGACTGGTGGATTTGAAAAGTTTGTGGGGTTTTTTCTCCCAGTAAGATATGTAAATATAAAGCAATATTCCACATCGTCTTCATGGAAATATTCTCATTCCAGAATATATGAGTGCAATCTAACTATTTTCTTTAAATCACTTCAAGACGCTAGAATGAACTAAACAGTAAAAATACACCCTCGCTCTGGAACAAGGATATCCTCACATGGAGATAATTAGCACCTATTTCAGGTATATGCAGATAGATATATGATGCCTTTTTATGACAAAATGTCTTTGCAAATCACCAGCACACGTGAAGACAGTAAAAGAATGTGAAATTACACTACCTATAATCAAAAATTCGTAATAGGAATGCTAGTAAATAATTTTTATAAGTCCCCAAAATATTTTTTTTGTAGTTTCACTAGCAGAATATTATACTGAGGATAAATAAAAACTTGAGGTGTGAAAACATCAACTGTATTGATATGAACAGAATCTCTAGGTTGGTACATTCAAATCTATATTTGCCTCAGGAAAAAAAAAATTGCTCCTTCTCCGAGCACTGTTGGTCCCCAGCTGTGACCCTACTCCTCTCGAGTCGCCGCCAGCAGCTCCTATCCGCTGCTTCGCTCCCCTAGTTGTGCCATTACAGCTGTTTGGGGGACACACAGGGAACCAGAGCCAAGGCAACATCAGGGCTAAAAACTCAGCTGTTCTGTTGGTGGGGCTTAGCCCCAGCACGGCTTGGGGGACAGGGCAGCGGGGGAGCAGCGGTTGCCTGGGCAGAGCTGCAGGAGCTGTGATGCCCCATGGCCGCCCTGCCCCGCCGGGGTCCTGCCGCCCACACCTTGGGAACGACTTCCTGTGGCTGCTCCTTTGGAAAGGGCCAATGTCCACATGGGACTGCCTTCTGGTTTGGAAAACAAGGATTTTTCTATTCAACAACATTTTCTCACATACTGCCCTGCAGTAGAGTACAGATGCCATTTGCAGAAGTCTCAGGCCAATGCCATGGTTGTCAGAAATCATCCTGCAAGAAGCAGCCTTTCAATTCTATGCATTTTCAAGATTGCAACCTATGTAAGGCTTAAATGAGAGCACAGAGCCTTGGAGTAGGTGTACGACTGCAATCCCTGCAGCCTGGAGTAAAGCCCCAGCGTCCCTCAGTCCTTCCTCACAGCAAGCAGACGGGAACGAGAGCACAGGGTCCCCTCCTCCACGAACCAGAGCGAGAAGGGCAGGATGCTTTTGGGGTGGGAGTCAGACCGAGTTGAAGCCCCTGCCTGATCTTCCCTCCCTTGCTGTACTTTGTTTCCCGTATTTTTATTTGGCTGAACATCATTTTAGTTATGCCCAAAAAGAGGAGCAGAAAGCACAGACTAATTACCAAACAAATTAAGTGACCAGGAAGAAATATGCATTCAGGGGAAAGAAGATGGGCTACAGTTGCACCAGAGGAGAAACTAACTCTCCTGCCCTCTGCCAGCCTCAACCTACTCATTTGCCAGAACATCAATTGCCTAAAAATATTTTAGATGAATGTGGGGTGATGGCAGAGTATTCAGTTCCAGAAAGGTGAAGGATGAGAATCTCTGATTTAAATACATGAGAACATACTCTGTGCTCGCCCTCTTAAGATTCTATTTCATCTTGGGTAAAACCTGCAAAGCTTTTTACTAGCCCTGTAAATGGGCTTAGCGTGCTCTGCAGAATACCTGCTGCTACCGCCGGCCACGCAAAGGCAGCCGTGTAAAAGCAAGATACGTTGCAATTGTTCACACCAGTACTCTGAGTTTGTTCTTACGTTACAGAAAGTAAAATCAAGATCAGCGTAGGCTGATGCCTTCCTCACTTCCACGAAAATCAAAAGGCAATACAATAATAACCGAGGGAGAACAGTGTATTTTTAGGGTGGGATTATGAAACTCGCACTATGAATTTTAATCTCCGAAATTGTCATGTTCTTTTATGGGCTTCAGAGGCCTTCCTTCCTGGGAGTTTTGTACACTTCAGTCATTTAACTTTTATAATCTTCCTGCATTTGGAGAGACAGGGAAAAATACCCTGCCTGAAACTTTTAGCTTTAAAAAAACCCACAACATTTTTGTCTAACGTAATTACTGACAGGTTCCAATTGGAAAGCTGTTGCTTTTATTTTAATTTTATTAAAGGAGCGAACAAAGGCTACCCAAGGCACCACAATAAAATTACATTAACTGTAAAATTACATTATTAATTCTTTAATCTCACTTGAGGCCTCAAGCTGTTGCTATGTCCAATTACCCAGCTAACCACCTGTCAGAACTGTAAAGCTAGTTTAACATTACCTCCAGGACAGTTGTGTGCCCTGTGTTCAGTCAGGTCTGCCAGTGAATCGAAGTCCTGCTGACAGTTATCGCAGGTGTAAATTGACTCATCCTCCATGTCTTCATCTTCCTCATTTCTCTCTTCCTGGCTCGTCACACTGTTCCTCTCTTCTAGGGCCCGGCTGTCCTTCGCTTCGCTCTCCAGCTCTCCTCCCAGGCCACCTGCCAACAGCAAGAACATCCCCTAAGTTTGAGAGGTCTGAAAAATAAGAGCTTTAAGAAGGATGTTGCACTTATTAAGATACATTTAATTACAGTCACTCTCACATTATTCCCGACACCTTTCATTATATTAATGTGGTTTTTATATCATGCGGTGCAACAATTCTCAACTGTATTCTCTGCTGCTTAGTGCGAATCCTGCAAACACTCTCTCCTAATCTTCTCTGGTGGGTGTAGAGCAGGAGCCTCTAACTCTCTGTCATATGAAGTTGTTAGTGTTTTATCACTTAACCAGATTCTCAAAGCTTTAAAAATTGGCAAGATTAATTACAGCCCGTAAAGAAAAGGCATGTGCTGAATTTTAATTCTCAGTGCTCTCCTCTCCCTGCCGCCTCCAAGCTCCAATGTTAGTAACAACAATAAAAAAAACGTTCTAGCTGAAGACCCACAAAGCACACGCACACCCCAGGACACGAGAGGTCCCGCTGAACTAACGAGCGGCACTTTGCCTGGCAGACGAGCCTTGCGTTGTGCCGACCTAGCCAGGAGCAGCGCGCTTTGCATCTGACCTTTGGGTCTCACGGGTATTTTTTATCTTCATCTGTGACCAGAGCGCGGGCTAGCACAACCATCTTCGCCAGAAAACCCCCAAGTCTTCATGCGCATCCGTGCATAGGGAAACTGAGCTCTCTGGCAGCTCCAGAAACAGCCCGGCACAGGGGGGCCGTGCGCCCCAGGGCACCGTGGGGGGCAGCTCCACACAGGGGGCAGCTGCCTTGCCCTGGGGGGGCACAAGCAGGGCAGCCCACCAAAGGCAGTCCCCCTCAGTGTGCACTCAGGGGCCTCTCGTGAGGGGTGGGCTTGTAGTCACATCCTCACAACTCCCGTTGGAGCCAGTCATGCCCACGGCTCCAGTGCGATGCCTGTGCCTCTTCCGCACGTGTGTCCCACCAACACGGGCGGTATGGCCACAGGTGCTACACCTGCCCCATTCAAGCTGCCTCTGCGAGCACTCTCACACTCCAAATACATCCTCGTTGGTAAGGCAGGAATGTTTGACCATTCAGCAAAGCAAGACAGAACCGCAGGCTCTTCAGCAAAGAGATTCTCGCATGCCGGCTGAGCCCGAAACCTTGGAGCTGCCCTCAACCAGGCAGGAGAGAGATGTCACCTTGTTGGTTTGGATTGCATTTGGGTTTTGAGCCGTTAAGGAAAGACCAGAGAACAGAGAAATGAAGTTTTTCTAAAATTAAGGTCAGTGCCAAAAAGATTAAAAACAAATCAATGGTGAGAACACGAAACAAAGCTGAAAAATAAAATTTATTAAAGATGAAAACTGGTCACCACAAGCACTGCAATTCAGATACACGTGTTAGTAGGGCTCCGCTACACCATTTAGCCAGAGCACATTTTATACCATCTTCTGCACTGCGCATGGTAACATAAATCAACCGCTGTAAAACCCTCTACAGTTTTCCATGAGCACTCGTAACATGACGTACCTTTCAAATTGCAGTGGAAATATCAAAAATCAATGCCTGCTTGTGGTGTATCACAGCATCCCTCTCAGCAATTAAGCAATCTTCACATTTTCAGGTTCTTTTACTGTTAAATTATACATACTTTCCTACTACAAAATTTCTGTTAAGGGCTAAATATAATGTTCATCTTAACGAATCAGATATGCCACTTATACAGCAGTAATGAATTTAAGGATTTGGCTATAAAAAGTATCGCTCACTAAGCTCTCCATATTGTAAATCATCATCTGTACTATGTTTATTCAATACAACGCTGTTTGCTGAACCTCATGCTTTATAGACTCTTCACTAAAAAAAAAAAAGTAATGAAAAACCCACATGATTCTAATTTTCTTTATACTACCACTTCACCAAATAATAAGTCACATTCAAAGCTATGTGAGCTTTGCTTTACTTCACACATTATTTAATGTATATATTCAAATTATCACTTCTATTTTGTAATATTTACTGGGCACACCTTTATACAGTCTCTCTACCCCAGCCTGCAAGAACAAACATTTTAGCTCAATCAATTTTTTTTAAGCCTGTATGTCCTGCAGACTTGATAGTTAATAAATCAGAATGTCAACTCTCTGGTTTTATAAGACAGAAACCTATAAAAATAGTCTGAGTGTATAAATCTAACCTAAAGAACTGCCACCTGCTTCCATGCTGACGAAGACCTCAGGGAAGCACTTCTGAACTGACTTTGCCACAAGCCGAAGAGGAAAGTTTTTAGGCAACTTTGGAGAGCTTTAAGGGACCTTCACTAATATATTTAGCAGAAATGTTGTCTTTTGACAGTTAACCTAAAGACCAGCTGATCTGGTGAACACACTGTGACAAATTCATCCTTGGTTTTACTCCAACACTTTGCGACTACACCAGGGATAAAACTGTTCGACCGAGTCCAACAATAACAAATAATTCAGCACACTGCTTTAGGAAAAATAAATTGTACAATGTGAGATAAGAAAATAGATTCCTGACTGCAAAGCAAAATTCCAGAAACATTTTTTAATTCCCTGTTGAATGGGAAATCTGATCCTCTAGGCAACTTTTCAAAAGCGCCGTGGCTTGACAGAGTTGTATGTCAAATAACACAACAGTGAATCTTGCATAAATTATTTAGCAAATGCAACATTGCTTTAAAATGAGATTTTTTTTTTCTTGTTTCAGTGAGCTGAAGGAATTGAACATGTCTGCCACGCCTCAGTGTTACTGTCCTTTGAATAACACGGTCTTCAGATTCCTCTGCCAAGCCACATGCTTGGTGCTTGCCTTGTAGAAATCAAACACCACCGAGAAAAGTCTGGGGTGTTTCTAATTTTTTTTTACCTTAGTCTCCACTATTTTGACCACAAGCTGCCAGCGAGGGTGCAGGCAGGCCCAGGGAGACGCCATCTCCTTGCCCGGGGGAGCAAAGCAGGCAGCGAGCACCAGGGCGATGATGGGAATGGGTGGTCCATCCAGTAAGGAAAAGCTTCAACCGCAGCCCAGCTGCTCCTGCGGTGAGCTCAGTTTCCCTGACGAGGACAGCAGGCCACGCGCATTCCTCAGGAACTCACTCCTGAGAGTTTTACTGCAGCAGTTCACAAATTTAACCTGCACTTCTCCTGCTGGAAAGAACTGCAGGAGCAGCCCACCACCTGGGCAGGACGGGTGCCCGCTGGCCCAAGCACGCTGCCGGGAGGTTTTGGGTCACCACAGGAGGCCAGGGCGCTGCTGGCACTGGCAGCGGGGTGATTTTGGGGCTAGGCCTGGATCCGAGGGGACACGTCCATGTGTTACCACACAAAGGAGCTTCTTGGTGGCCACACACCCTTTTGAAGTCTCCAAAGAAGACTCGTAGCACCAAACACAGATTTGTGTATTTTCCAACACAGCTTTTACCACGGCCTTGGATTTTAGCAAGCTTAATTCAATAGTAGTAGTTTCTACCTAGATTGCTGAAAAAAAAAAATTAGCAATAATCACAGTTA